GAATTTAATTTCATTAAAATTAAGTAATTTGTTTATTAACACTTCGTTGTATGTACAGAAATATAATACGTTAGACATTATTAAATAAAAAGGAAGGCTTTATTGCTTTCGAGTGATATCTTCCAGAAAACCACTGTGAGAATAAAATATACAGTCAAAACCGTTTATAACGACATCGTTTACAACGACCTATCGGTTATTACAACCAGATTGTATGGTCCCGTCCGAATCCCTAGTAAACTATTCAGTAAAGAAACCGCTTATAACAACATCGGATACAGCGACATATCGCTTACAACGACGAAAGTTTATCGATATTCATCGGATATAACGACCAACCGCTTCTTTTCTCAGTAAAACAAAACAATACAAACGATTTTAAATTTTATTTATAAGCATTGAATGAATATTTAGGCATATTATTACCTACGCACTTTCTCCCAACGAACAGTTTCAGCCAACAACGATTTCCGAGGCTCTTAACGCTGTAACGATTTTGGAAAAATTTGTTGCCTTTAACGAACAGTTTGATACTGGTGATACTCATACCTTGAGGAGTATGAAACGTAAAATGCAAAAAATATTTGAGACTGGGCTAAAAAAAACAGACTGACTGATTACTTTTGTACCTAATTATTTCGTAACAAATATTTTTGTTTCTTTTTTGACTCGTTTACATATTATAATATTAACATACCATATTATAACCCATACCTACCTATTCTAGATCGATAACTATGTACATACATATGTACTGTACTTGTGTATATGACATTGCTTATAACGACTATCGGATATAACGTCGGCAACTATACGGTCCCTTCAATGTCGTTATAACCGGTTTTGACTGTAATTAGATAAGATAAGCGCAAAAATACATAAGACATATTTTTGCTTCTAAATAACTATATTAAGGACAATAATAAAAATAACTCATTAATAAATATAGTTTAAAACTAAAAAACACGCTTTTAAAGCACATCAAACTAAAAAGTGAAAAATAATTCCTAATTTAGGCTGAAAATGGTAATGAACAAAAAATACTGGTATTATTGTGAAAAAGCGTGGGTTGCTCGATAGACGAAAAATATGGCACAGAGCGCGCCACGCTTTTTCACAATAATACCAGTATTTTTTAATAATACCACTTTTTAGTCCTAGCAGCAATACGTGTTGTCTCAATTTAATCGTATTGCTTTGTGGACTTAAAAAAAATTTCATTGTTTTTTCGAGATAAACCTATGAAATTATTATATTGTCGCTGATTCTTTATAAGTGTACAAAGTTTGAATTAAATCTGTCCGTTTAATGTGGGTCAAAATCGAGTCCGAAGGAGTCGGTTACATACATACATACATACATACAGGTGAAGCTAATATAAAGCGTGTAAAAAGAATCACGCTAATTCAGATCAGTTAGTAACGCTAGAGATACTTTGTGTACAGGTAATCCTTGTAACAGTAGAGATTTAAAGGAAGATAGAGAAGGATCTAAGCGAATAGGACCGGGAAGTGAATTCCATAGCCTTACTGCAGAGTCCTTAAAGGATTCACCAAGAAAGGATACGATACTGGACTATACAATTTGCGGCTAGCTTCCTTAACATGCTCCCAGGATAAATTTTGATCAATTAACTAAACATTCTTTACTGTACGGCTAATATTTAAAGTCACACCGTCGATATGTACATACGATTTATAGTGAGGACAATCAGATACTTATGTAAATATGTTATAGAAACGATATTATGTACATGTGTCAAAATGAGATGAGAAGTTAAGATGGCATATTCATCCAACTTCCTCACAATCGAGTAGCCCGCAATATCACCTCACAACTCATGAGGGGACTCTTTGTATTGAATAATCCGTTTGGCGCAATCACAATTATGTAGGAATATAGGAAGTAATATTAGCAAATAACACAGCAAAACGATTCGGTGAAAGGTCCCTATGGAGTTGCTGAAAATGACTTTTGTATTTTTTTTTGGACAATTCACGCCTATTGACCTAGTCCCATGCTAAGCTGGTGAAGCTTGTGTTATGGGTACTATGCAACGGATATACATACATATTATAGATAGACATATAAATACATATTTAAACACCCAAGACCTAAGCATGACACCAAATGCTCATCACGGCTTGTCTCAGCCGGGGATCGAACCCGGGTCCCATGGATTCGCAGTCAGGGGTACTAACCACTAGACCAATGAGCCGTCGATCTGTTTACGCTAACACAGTTTTATTGTAAATATGACACGATCTGTTAACAGGCCCATTAAACGATGAGCACTAACGTGGGACAGGCGTGTTAAAGGGTTATTTGTTTCTAGTTAATCTGTGTACTGCAATGGATAGCGATTTTAGTAAGCCATTCTGTATATATTATCTTGTAAACACTACATCCATGAAGTTACGTCGCAATTCAAGAGAATCAAAGTCAATTTCCAGCTACCTACTTTTATAGGAGAGACATATGCCAAAGATGCGACTAAAATATCCAGTATATTATCCTTTATTTAACTATAAAGGTCCAGTTAATTATCCTGGATTTTTATGGATTTAGGGAATGATGAAAATCCATTTATGGCACGTTACGTGCGCGAGTTGTATAATGAACACGTGAAAAATACTCTTATCAATTATAATAATATTTATATTGTAATCTTGATAAAAATGATTTTTACGACATCAAATGTGTAATTTTATAAAGATTTTCCTAAATGGGTCATAAAATTTAATTTCGTTTTAACCGAAATACAACAATTAACTTGAAATGTTGGCTTTTAACCATGGTTTATTTAATATTACTTCGCCTCTTTTCCTATAAATATAAATTAATAACTCAACCCAGTCAGAACCCACGACCATAGGTTTGAGAATAATGCCTTAATGTAAGCTATAACAATTAAGGATTCTTCCTATGTGGAAGAGGAGAGTCAAATCTTCCGTATCTGTTCGTCATCATTTGTTTTAACAGGCAAGTGGATCAGCCTTCTGTGCGCACGCCATCGACTTGGGTCCAAGGCATGCCAATATCCTCATGATGTTTTTCTTCACTGTAAAACATTACTTTCCTACATTTTATCATCATGTTTATCAAAATTTGTTACTTACTTACTTATCTCACCTAGCGTTGCACATGATAACAAAAAAATTAAATAAAGCTACACTTTCTGAGGCACGCTTGTAACTAATACACTCTCACGCAACCTATAAAAACAACAACTTACCAAATATAAGTACGATAATTAATACATCACAGAATTGTTTTTTATTTGTGTATAATTCATAGCTATTAAATATATTTAACCTCCAAATATTATTTAAATGTAATTGTGTTTTTAAAACTTGTTGTATATTTAATATGTTGAAGACTATTTAGTTAAAATATAAAGGAAAGTGACTTACAAAGGTATCCTCAAAGAGAAAGCGATCCCAAAGGAGCTTGTTCTATAGAGACGGCGCGACCGTTGAAATCTTTATTACGTGACGTGTATAATAATATTAATGCTATATCATTACAAATTGTTATTACAATTTAATATTATCATTATAACTAATGACATTTTTTAAATTTGATATTGAAATTAATTTAGAAAAGAGAAATAAATATTGACGTTGTTATTGATTTTATATTTGAAATTGGAATTCCGGATTATTATTTAAATGATTATTCTTTATTTAAAATATTTTTCTTTTTTATCCTGCCAGCTTTTACTTTGAATCATACATGAATTCTTTTTTTATATTCGAATTTTTATTTGAATAAGAGTAAATATATACTTATTACCATTATTAATTATTAACATTTTAATTATTAATATTCCTGACGATAAAATCGTGTATTGCGTAATAGTAAAAAGTATGTATCGATGCCGTTGATACATAGTGAACCATTTAAGGATTAATGTATGTGAGTAACCAGTTGCTGTTACGATAAATTGAACAAAGTGCGGACGTTTTTCGGGCAACCGATACCATACGAATAAGGTTTTGTATGGATGCACCACAGTTTATTTAATGTAGGTAGTTGTCCAAAATGTCTGCAGGTCAGAAATTACGGAAATTAGTCCATTAACTGCTGCCGTTATTATTTAATTGTGTTACGATAGACTTGATTTTTAAGTGATCTTCAAAAGTTTATATTAACCGTACAGTATGTTAAATTTTTATTAATAATGAAATAGTAATACCTAAAATACATTTTCAGTATTACTAAGTGCCTTAATAGTAAATTAGAAAAACTACAAACTAAACTGTATGTAAGAACACAAAGATTTCCTTATAAAGGTCTAACCTATATTTTAACTTGCACATACTACTCACTCATGAGTCATCATGTTTCACTGAATATTCACTACACTGTGACCATCTATCTCTGTCCCACGATACATCCATCCCTTACTCACGCGCAGCCGACGTCACCGGCCAGCCAGCCAATTGACCGGTATACAGCCAACCTTCAGTTTTTCTTTATTTATAACTCGCTTCGCCTGTGTAAGTTATGCTTCGTTTGTAACGTACCAGTGACTGTAACGAAGTAATTATAATGTCAATAGATGGAATGTATAGTCTATAGTTAAAGAAAAAAGATTATTATAAATATAGACTAATTTAATTTCTTAATTAATCAGATGGTTCAACGATCCAAATTGAGAAGTTACTTGTCATAGAATATGATATGGTCTGTGGTTATTTTATCCTTAATTAGCAGTAATATCAGTGACTGATAAACAGCGTGAAAATATGTAAATCATGCCACACGTTCATTTATCGAGGACAAAGTTTGACATATCGACAGCTGATAAAACTAGTACCAGTCGCTATCTTATAAGTACTGCCCGTGCAAGTAGGTGTGAACGAAACACAGTGCGGTTTAATGAACGCCTAGCAATGGCGGCGGCGCTCGCCCCGCGCGGCGCACAGTCGGCCCCGAGCTTCACGCGGCGCGCGCGCAACCCATGCTAGTGAAAGGCCGCATGACTCACACCAGACATGAACGAGTACGCCGAATTCGATTGGAGGGTGCACCAAATGCAGAACGAGCGTCTCTGTGACGTATCCAGGAAAAGACTCACTGATGGAGACAGACAACGCGCCCTTGACGGCCTCAAAGAAGCCGTCGACTCAAGCCTTAACCTCGCGTTGCGCGATAAAAGCCGATGCCAAGACGACCACTTTTTGCGGCGGTTCCTCTATACCAGCAAGTTCGACGTTCAGCAGAGTTTCGAGTTACTAGTCCGTTACCATCAATATCGTCGGGAGCATCCTGAACTGTGGGCGCCGGCGGACGGGGGCGTGCTCCGAGCCCTCGCCGACGGCCTACCAGGCGTGCTTGCACAACGTGACCGGAGGGGGCGCTGTGTTCTACTTATGTTTGCCTCGAACTGGACACCCCACGCTTGTCCGTTAGTGTCCGTTTTCAGGGCGCTGTTACTAACATTAGAACGTACTCTTGTCGAGACGCAAAACCAAGCAAACGGATACGTTATGATTGTCGATTGGACCGAGTTTACATTCAAACAATCGTGTAGTTTACAAGCAAAGACTCTGAAAATGATGATTGATTGTCTTCAGGACTGCCTGCCTGTGCGCTTCAAAAGTATCCATTTTATCGGACAGCCTTGGTACGTGGAGACCGCATTGGCCGTTGTGAAACCTTACCTGAAAGCAAAGACGAGAGAACGGATAGTGCTTCATGGTAACAATTTGTCGACCCTGCACGACTCTTTGCCGCTGGATATCCTCCCAGCGGAATTGGGAGGTGAAGGACCTTCCTACAACTCGGAGCTCTGGTTGCAACAATTCTGCAGATTCGAGAACATAGACACGCCACCTGCTCAAGTGTCGACGAAGGTGGCTAAAGATAAAGATCTTCCAGCGGCAAAAGTGGACAAAGCGTATAAGCAAAAGGACAATGGGAACTTTTCGTTTCACGGCAATGAAAAAAGTGCAAAGTCAGAATTACTACGCGATAAAGATTGATCACACAAAGATCGCATCACTACTTGGTTCCAGTGGACAGTTGTGCATTTCACTGGGGCGTGTCGCCCCATATTGGTGCTACGCGTGCCTTTTGTGATATGAAGTGTTATATTTTAACGAGTTTAGCCATTAAGAGGATGTTTTTATGCTTATATTCGGTATTGTGCGATTACTTGACGTGTTCAAATTAATTATTGGCGTCGCTTCACGCTCGTTAAAGATGTGAGTCAAGCGAAATAGTCTGTAGGTGGGCTCATCCCTGTGCAGCTAACGGTTTCGAACTCTCAATACGTCTCGTGTGTGCGTCTGCATGAACTCTAAGATAGATAGTTTAAGATCTATTTATTTATGCGCTAATCGGTGACAATCTCATGTTTGATAGCATGCTTATGTTGTGAGGCTTTCGCATTTATTAATATAAGTTTTGGAATAGTCATATGGAGTACATGATTGACAGTATTAAATTTTGTCCGTTGGTCGTATATCGACGCGCTCTCATAGACTTCCCGTCCATTGTAGTCCGTAGAGTTTAATAGGGCTGTCAAAACGAGCCAAATTGTTTCCTATTATCTTTGTATACCCAAGATACTCATTGTGATGTCTTATTGTTAATTAATATTGAAGCAATAAACTTTTTAACTGTACCCTGAATTTTATTGGAATTTATTTCGTAATATTTCGTAACGGCTGTCTCAAGCCATGAATTCATTTTGTACGTGTTTTAAAGCGTTGATAGGTTAAATAAAAACCGATATACTTATGGTATGTAAAACATAAAACCGGTTAATCAATTAAGTGTAATAAAGTAGCATGAAACAAAACTTTCGCAAATTTGAGGATAAAAATTAAGATGATTCTTCCACGTGGGCGTGGATTTCGGGTGTTTTAGCAAGATTGTTTGACCTTTTCAATAATATAGGTCATTTTATTTACATAAACACAAACCTGCACTATGAGTCACTTTTTAATAATAAACCCCCTATAAAAATTCCTTCGCTTGTTTTTGTATTGCGTCCATACAGAGAAACGGAAGTGGCCGGTTTGAATAATATAATATTCCTGTAACATAGAGTGAGTAATCAAAAGCCTCACAATTATTAAAAATCATATATTTTTTTTATAAAACAGGGGGCAAACGGACACTCATTGCCAGAGGGCTCGCAAATGCGTTGCCGGCCTTTAAAGACTTGGCACGCTCTTTTCATGAAGAACCCTAAGAATTGGAAATAATACATCAGTGGGCATCCACATAGAGGTGGTGCGCGTCAAAACTGCCTTAAAAACGCTCAGTTGTGGTGACGTTGAGGTGATACGGGTGGATTTTCGTATACTGCCTCGCTGTGTGATGAAATTGTTTGCTGAAATTTGGCCTACTTATATATCATATTATATCCTAGCTACTTTTAGTACCCCCCCTCAGTACCGTCGATCGGAACCCCTTCACGGGTAAAGACAAAAGGCCTCCTCCAGGTTTTCCCAACTGAATCTGTCTATGGCTTTCTTTCTACTTTCGCTTCCTGCTACCTTATGGGACGCCCTCGTCTCCTTCCCCTTGCTCCTTTCCATACAGTTGTCTTCAATATGTTCCATTAAATAATATCTACTGATCTCTTTAACTGTAGGATATATGATGCCAAGAATCAGTTGTAGCGCTGGATTTACTAGGAATTGAGGTACAGTGTAAACGCTTTATAACGAATTTCAAAGGACCGAGCATTTTTTTCTTTATAGGGAGTGAAGAGAAAAAAAAAACAAATTTAACCAATTACAATAATTTCTTATTTTATTACTATCAATAGGTAAATTATTGTAAACAAATATATTCTGTTAACTTTATATAATACACGATAGGTTCCTACGGGCAATGTAATCTAAGAATTAATGTGAATTATGAATTAAACACGTGTTAATGCAATTAACAATAACAAAGGCGAGACGGCTGTTTATGTTCTTAAAAGGTTAGTTTTGTGTGATGATTATAAAAACAATTACGCTTAAGTATATTGTTGATGTCTAAATATGAAAATATTTCTTCGTTATACAGACTGGCTGTTGCGTTATAAAGAAGGTATGGGTATTGTGTTAAACCAAACAAATGCAACTAATTTTACGTTATAGAGACCTTTTCGTTATAACGAATGACGTTACAAAGAGTCTACACAGAATTTCAAATGGGTTTTGCGTTAACAAAATCCTTCGATTTCCTGGTTTAGGCATTATTCGCACATTTCTTGCTAATCATCGTAATAGTAACTACTACTTGAAACTATGGTTTCCCTATTACACTATTAGCATGATTAGTATTTCCTAAACATTTATGTAACGTACATAAGATAAGCGTTATCGCTTTGTATCGATTGTATGAAAAACTACAGAACAGATAAAACTGTGTTATCTGTGGTAGATAAGAATATATTTTCCCCTAAGCAATACTCGTTTCCCCTAATCATATTTAGGCATTTATTTTGAGGTTATTGAGCAGTGTTGCCCTTGTTCGTACGATTCTCATCCCTCCCTTGCGATTCTGTAACTCACTTTTCGAACTCACACAGCGGTTTTCACAGCGGCGGTAGCGCTCAAATCATTCGTAAAGCGATTAAGCGTTACGATTTGGCATTCTGATAAGGAGGGAGCTTGTAGTTTATTGTTCATCAGAATGCCAAATCGTAAAATGACTGCTTTACGACTGATTTGAGCGCGACCGCCGCTGTGAAAACCGCTGTGTGAGTTTGAAAAGTGAGTTACAGAATCGCAAGGCTGATCATAGGTTCGAGCCACGGCTGTGTACCAATGCACTTTCTATGAGCGCATTTACCACTCGGTTGTACGGTGTTCGAATCGTGAAACAGGCAGAGACGGAAGAGTAAAGAAGTGTGTCAAAGTAGACTTGTTGTGAACTCAAAGACTACAGAGTCGATTTTTAAACAGCTTCAGCCCAGAACGGATTTAGAGGTCAAGAGGATTTAAGGTAAAACGAGGAAACGTGTTATATGGATAAAACTACAAAACGATTTATTTTCAACATACAAATATACAGTATTTACAATAAAACGTACAATGTAATAATAATAAAAAAAAATTATAAGTAGAAAATTTAAACAAATTTTAAAAGTTTTGACAGTGACAGTGACCTTTTGACAGTGTACCTACCATACATGCTGGCTTTTCCTCGCTGTATTGCGATGCTTATTCGTTAAGCGAGGAAAGCAACGGATCATGTTCTGGTAATATCTACGCAACAACTTAAATGTTTAATTAGCGCACTTGGACCCCATGGCCCAAGGAAACAAAATGAAAGTTGGAGGATATCCCTTATATTTGAGCTGTTTTTCGCCTGAATAAAACTTGTGTGTAAAATTTGCATTTAGACGATAAGTAGGCAATTAATATTCACCTCTATATCAAACTTACCAAACCTTTTCTAGCCAAAGCCATGAATACATTGACGTTTATCTATTGTTTTACAAATTGTTTATGATCGCGAATGGCTCCATATGATGCGCTTTAGACAATGGATAGTAAAGTACAATGAGATTTTAGCTAGGGCTGGCTATAATATATAGATTTGCTTGTCTGTATTACGGATAGACTATATATTATATTTTTGTAGAATAGTCTAATATTTTTTGAGGTGAAACTTCTTAAGGCGCATGAGGGTAAATTTTTACGAAAACGTCACGAAGCTGTGCAGCGTTTTTGTCGAAGCAAAGAGAGAGAGCGATTGAGACCGATTGAGAGTGAGAGAGAAGGGCGAATTACCTTATCGAAATTCTATATATGTATAAAATTAAAATTTCGTAAAGAGAATTTATGAAATATTAATATTTTATATTTTATGCAAAATAATTTATTGAAATCACGCACTTTTTTTTTGTTTTGTTTACTAATGAACTATAATCAACTTTGTTTACTAAGACTGATTTGTTACTAACTCTAACTCAAACTCCAGTTCGACTTAGGGTACAAGTGTGTACCAATTCTTAAAAGTGAGTGTCTATGGGCATATCTCACTTAACATCAGGTTAGCCTCCAGCCCGTTTTCCTGTTACATAAAAAACCTACATAAACGTCAATTTATGTAAAAATAAAGAACCATAATTTTATTAAAAAAACTGTAACAGTAACCTTTTAAGTCTGAACCTCAGATTTCTGTATCTGTTTCATGATCATTAGTTTTTTCTAATAGACAAGTAGGTGAACAGCCTTCTTTGTCACTTGTTGACTTTTTGTATTTAAGGTCAGCCGGTTTGCTTACGATGTTTTCCTTCACCGTACGAGGGAGTGTTAAATGGGCACATAAAAAGTCCATAGGTGCACAGCCTGGATCGAACCTACGACCTCAGGGATGGGCACGCTGAAGGCACTAGGCAAACACTGCTCATAATTGATTTTCAGGTCGTATTCTATACCAAGTTTTATAGTTAGAGTATTGGATGGAATCTAGAAAGTTTCACGAAGAAAATTAATAAATTTTACTCCAAAAAGTATATACTACTATATTTATTTGAATAAGACTCATTAATGGACTGCGCAGGAGCACAATTTAATATTCGAATGTTTTATGCAACAGTCGGTATGGCGTACTCATATTACGTATTGTGCCTTATTGTACATGTTGTGACAACCCTACGTCCACAAGTGAGTCACGAGGCTCGTTTCCGTCGTCCCTCGCAACGGAAGAACTATAGTCACCTTATATTTTAATCCAAAAACGTGTAATGAATCGATTTGGTGTAATTTAACACTATTTCGCCTGACTTGTACGGTTTTGAAGGATCCTTTTACTAACGGTTCTTATTACTTTTGTTACTCTGTATACGTATAAAGACTAACCTCTTTATTAATAAAAAAACTAAAGTACTCTTTCGTCTCTTTCTATCAAATCTATTACGCTGTGATGGAAAGAGACAGTATGCAAGGAAATATGATTCCCGCCAAATAACAGATGCGCAGTTGTTTTGTTTTTCTTCCACTAAACTTAGATGCGCGAACTTCGTCTA